GACAGTCACGTCATCAGCATCTCTGTCAACCGTCCTCGATATCGTGAGTACTTGTCAGGTACGTTTGATTTTATTTTTTTACACACTAAAAATACGGACTTCAGTTTGGTTGAAATTGTGTAGTTTTTGGTTTAGTTATATGTCTACAAATTATTAAAGGATTAATCTAGGATTTGGGATAAGCCCAGTTTTGACATTAGCTGCAAATTGTAGCCTATTTGCTCATAGATTACAACCAGTGGCCTAAAAATCTATTTTATAGAGCGATAACAATTTGAAATTAAGTTATAGTGGAATACTTTTTATCATTGTTATTCCAATTTATTTTTAAAATTATTATAAAAATCGCCATAATTTTAAAAAAAAAACCTTCTTACTCTATTTCATTCCTCCTTAGGTGGAATCATTGAATTAACCAATGGCGTGTCTTGTATAGACCAGAGGTTTAACCTGGAACAATTCATTGACATCAAGCTACTGGGTGTTGAGGGGAACACGGAACAATGGCTGTGTAAGTATTCAAGTCTTTTTATACTTTTTTATTTGATCTTGGGATAGGCCTACACCCTCATCACCATAGACAACTAATTAGTATTGACTTTAAATTTATAACACAAATGATTATTTTCATTGTTTACGTTACTGTTTACTTGATTGTCTGTTTACGTACTGTTTAGTTGATTGTCTGTTTACAATAATGTCTCTGTGAGCATTTACTTGAGCTGCTGCTTAAGGCAGTGTTTAGTTGATTGTCGGTCTACACTAGGGTTTACTTATGTGTCATTGTTTGTGGTGTCCTTAATATAATAATAGGTCTGTGGTAGTATTTACTTTAGTGTCTGTTTATGTGTGTATTTGGTCTCTGTCTATGTTAGTGTTTGTCTTAGTGTCTGCCTAATAAAGTGTCTAGACTTATAACGAGGTTTTATGACATTTTTTCAGCTCTTACTAAGCCAATCGCCTTCCGTCAGAACGGCAAGGATGTATGGGCGGTAATCGTGTCAAGGGAGGACAAAATAGAACCAGTTCTCTCCCCTTCGGTGATCCAAAACTCGCAGGTAAATTTCTTACTTATTCTTATTTACATTGTTTTGTCTCCATTCAGTTTATAATATGTTCTTTTATGTAAAACGTTAATTAATAACAATATAATTTTATACAATAATTTTAGTTTTGAAAAAAAAATGTTTATATTTCCGTTTAAACAAGTATATGCTTGTCATTTTAAAAAAATAAGATATAGGATTCCTGTACAATCGTTCAACTTATTGTCTTCTCTTTCAGGGTGACCAATGGAATGGTCCACACGTCTGCCCTGCTGACTGCTGTGTCCCAGAATGCCCATCTTTTGTGTTTCCTTCTCTGCAAAACTGTGGCAGACATCCCAGCATTACGGTTTTGGAAGATGTGTCAGTAGGTCCACGTGCAAGACTTCCATCTGATGATTCTAGTGCATTCATGCCAATTATTAAAAGTAACCTAAGAGCTGATTCACCGGAATTTGTGCCCACATTTCCAAGCAACTTGTTTGCCGAATCTCTAGAAGAAGTGCCAACAATAATGAGCAACTTACGTGCTGACTCGCCAGAGTTTGTGCCCAAATTTCCAAGCAACTTGTCTGCCGAATATCCAGAAATTGTGCCAACAATAATAAGCAACTTACGAGCTGACTCCCCTGTATTTGTGCCCAGAGGCCATAGAAGTGCATCGCTGGGATCACCATACCTGGCACCATTAGCAACAAACATTCCACCGGCTGGATTACCAGCCTTACTGCCATTAGACTTTTGCGAACTCCAAGAAATCGAGCATGAATATGAAAACAGCCTCACCATACAATCAGATAAACATGTACAAGAAATCCCCACACAATTTTCAGCTATTGCCTGCTCTCAAGAGAACTTATCCACCACTTCTACAGAACATGTACCAACAGATCGTGTTTCCCCTCACTCTCCACGTTTGTGTTCGATGGCTCCCCTCAACAACGAACATCAACGATTCTCAAGACGGCAACACCTACTGAGTAAATCCAGAGTTGTCTTCCTAAGAAAACTTTTGAACTTAACACAAGTTTAAAACAGGCAGAGCTTCAGAACATTTGCCCTCGATATACAATTCAACGAGTAGATCTGCTTACCTTAATGAGTTGGATTGTTTCTTAATGAATTTTTTGTATTAGGCAAGCTCTAATCCTCGGTGATCAAATGTTTCAGGGTTTTAAAAATAAGACAGCACTTTAGCGCCTACTGAGGATTATAAGATTAGGCTAGGTGTTATGGTAAGATTTTACTACAATATTTAAAATTAGCTGGTTGTTTGCAATTATAGATTGATTTGATGTATTATTTTAATTTAATAACTAATTCAGAATATTTTTAAAATGTTTGCTTTGTGCTAGTGGTTATTGTACTATTTTCCAAATATTGTTTGAAAAGAATTTGGTTAGGGTTAAAACAAATGTAATTATTGTTGTATGAAAATTTTTGGATCGAGTTTTGGTTTCTGTTAGGTATATATTTATTTCATTGTAAGCGGTTGTAAATTAAACAAAAATAACCATAACCTAATTTCCTTCGTCTAATGTCAAACAACTCAATGAAATAAAACCCTATGTATGTTTTTAAAAGAGAAAAATAAATATTCCTCTTTGAATAACTCGTTTTCTGGCTTTGTTTTCTTAATACATATAATTATATAAGTATAATTACATTAAAACGTGTTTTATTAGCTGTGGCGGACCAAGACAAAAAAATTATTAATGTATTTGTATATACTATACGTTTATGTCCGCTTATCCTGTGCCAAAATGATTTTATTTGAGGAAAATGTCTTATAAGTAACATATGCACAACAATACAATGGTTACATAGACACAACAATACAATGGTTACATACACGCAACAATACAATGGTTACATACACGCAACAATACAATGGTTACATACACGCAACAATACAATGGTTACATACACGCAACAATACAATGGTTACATAGGCACACGATTACAACGCTTACATAGGCACAAGATTAAAATGGTTACATAAGTACAATAATAAAATGGTTACATAGGCACAAGACTACAATGGTTACATAGGCACAAGACTACAATGGTTACATAAGCACAAGACTACAATGGTTACATAGGCACAAGATTAAAATGGTTACATAGACATAAGACTATAATGGTTACATAAGTACAATAATAAATTGGTTACATAAGTACAATAATAAATTGGTTACATAGGCACAAGATTGCATTGGTTACAAAGTCCGATGCAATATGTCATAACTTTATTCTTACTTTAATTTTTTTTTATTAAAGACTGATATATAATTTAATACTTGTATCGCACATGTTAAAACGCATTGCCGTGTCTTAAATTTTTTTCTCTTTAAAACAAAGTTATTTGCTGAAAATATATTTAATACAAACTATACGTTTATGTCCGCTCATTCTGGGCCAAAATGTTTTATGTGGGGATAATGTCTTATAAGTTACACAGGTACAACAATACAGTGAGCTTATCTCAACACAGCAGGCGTCTTTTAACGTTAGTATACCCGGGCGACACGTTACTATTTTTATATTAAAATCTACCTGCATCTGAATATTTGAAAATCTTTCCTTATCTGTTGTGCTTTCTTTGTCAAACTTTGTGCAATTCCCGAGGAAGGCGAACCTACGAGTTTTGGGTTACAAATTAGAACAAACTTAAAAACTGTACAATTTATTGCTCTGTCGTGCACAATAGCAAACAACGCCTCTTGATCGATTTTGGTGGAGCTGATTTGTTAAACACTGGTGCGTTGATATGGTCACAAATGTTAACAATGTCACGTCGATAATGTCATAATGTTAACAAAGTGACGACGATATGGACAAAAATGTTTACAAAATCATTTTAGTATAGTAAAAATTATTAACAGGGTCACGTCATTACTTGTCATATTTGTCAAAAATGTTAACAATGGCACGTCGATATGATAAAATATGTTTAAAATGTGACGTCAACATGATTAAAAATGTTAAAAATGTCACTTCGATATAGACAAAAATGTAAAAAGGCGATCGAAAAATGTATAAAATTATACAAATATTTACTTGCGTTAAATCTCAAGTTATAGACGTTAAAACAAGTTTTTTCATTACAATTTAAAAGATAAGTTATCCAGTGGCGTAGCGAGGTCGGGTGTCACCCGGTGCGGCACTTAATGGTGTCACCCCCCTAGAGGCATAGAGACCCTTCCCAGGGACAAACTTTCAAGTTTTCGATTTGCACCCCCCCCCCCTCAAACTTTCGATTTGCACCCCCCTCAAGTTTTCGATTTGCACCCCCCCCCCCCCCTCAAACTTTCGATTTGCACCCCCCCCCCTCGAGTTTTTCTCTACATATTTTGCTATTTTTTGCCTTGGTGTCACCCCCCTAAATGGTGTCACCCGGTGCGGTCCGCACCCCCCGCCCCCCCCCCCCTCGCTACGCCCCTGAAGTTATCAATGAAACATAAGCCGCTGGAATGTCATGGACCCTACTGAAAGAAAAAGCCCAAAAGCTGACTACAAGGAAGAGATGTGGTTGCGTCCCTATCCTCAACAGGTTCACGTTAGAGATGGTGATAATGATTACGATGATAATAATGCTTTATAATTTAAAGCGTGAAATGCTTGTGGACCACTATCAGAATTTTGTATTTAAAACGCGTGATTAGTTCTTGTTGATGAATGTTTGTTGAAAGAGTTTTCAAAACTAAGTTAAAAGCTTTTAAATAGATGAGATCAATAGTTTATAAACAACCTACATTTGAATTTTTTTTTACATTTTTACAATGTAAAATATGTGTAGTTCTACGTCACTTTGCTTAATAAACAAACCTCGGCAAGTGGTGCCAAGAACTTGCGCTGATAACCCAAATAAATCAATAATTATTTCAGGGAAAACTTTAAAGACTTTCTACCTATATAAAGAGAGGTAGAGATTAGGCACTAAATAGGCCATTTGTAGATAAGAGTAGGTCTATATATCATGATACTAGAGTTAGGCGGTAGCTAAGTTACCGGTGACGGGTAGGTGGGTGTACAGGACTAAAGTCAGTTATTAAAATAAGTGCTTTTTGTTTTTGTGGTATTCTTCATTATTTAATTGTATTTTCCTATATTCTTTAGTATTATTTTTTTTAATCAAGTATTTGAGTTTTTGCATTTCGATTGTTATTCAATTTTAAAAAAAAATTCATGTAAAGGCTTATGATTTTAAATTATTTTGAAACTTATTTGAGTAAATATAAAATATCAATTAATATTTCAGGTATTTGATATTTAATAATTTATAAAAATCTTTCCAGCATTTGAGCGAACTTGTTTACAATCAGACAGCAAGTTTTTATTTGCAATTCAATTTGTGAATTAAAGTATTTTTTAATATCAGTGTTACAAAAACGTTAAAAGGCGTCTAATTGGTCTTGATGCACAATATTGTTGTACCTCATATTCATTTTTTACTTTCTCGTATATACGAAATATAGAGAAAGTATTGTAATCGTGCAAAAAAAAAATCGAGATTTTTACAAATCTCGACGTTTTACACCTCACTGATACGGAAAAACATAATTTTGCAATCTTGCTCGTATGTCTGTGTGTCTGTCTGTCTGTGTGTCTGTCTGTGTGTATACACGATAACTTGAGTACCGTTACAGCTAGGTTGATGAAATTTCATATATAAGTATTTTATCAAAATCGTAGATCCGTGTCAACTTGTGAGTGATTTTCGATAACCGGAAGTGGTATTTTTTCTACTTTGAATTTTTCAAAAGCCTATAACTTGAGTACTATTTCAGATAGATAAATGAAATTTCACATGTAAGTAAAATATCTAATTCTCTACCTTCTGTCAAATTATGAGTAATTTCCGTTGACCGGAAGTACTAATTTACGCTATTTCCGATTTCTCAAAAAAACGCATGTAAATTTATAAAGTACCAATAATATTGCGCACTATTATGCACATTTTGTTTTGGCGTTCGCTTGGTGCGCAATTCTTTTTTCTATTAGATCTAGATTCTATTCTATTTTTAAAAGTTTAAGTAAAAAAAAATCATGTCTATATTCCGAGTTGCAATCCCACGTAGTGTTATATTAGAATATTTGAGAAAGTTTAGGGGAGATCACTCCCGGTTTATTTTATTAACGTTGCATCTCTTATTTTCTCCAAGAGGTCTTAACTTTTTTAGTTAACTCAATGTTGGCCACGTCGAAAAGAGTTACCGTACTGGAGTTACCATTGGAGCAGGGATGAATTCATTATTGATGTTGGCTGAGTGCTACATACTATTTGTGTGCTACACACTGTCTCAGGTCACATGGGGTAAGTGACACGACATAGAAGGATTCGTATAAACGATGACAAAAAAGAGTTCTAGCAAAAACATAGACGTATCTTAGCAGTAAACCTTACCATAGTTGCTGCGCAGGTTACTGGCAGCGTTAAAAAACAATGATGCGATAATTGTTGTACACTACAAGTGTATGAAACTTGGTATTTCAAACAAACTTCTTCATCAAACTTCGTCAAAAATATTTTTTTAATAAATATACTAATTGAATTTGTATGCAGTCCTTCTTTTTGTAGCCACTACCTGCTGTGTTTGTTGTGTATTTAGTGTCTAGAAAATGCCGATCCGTTTATCCAGCGATCAACTTCGACGATTAGGATAGAACAGGGGTCTCCAAACTACGGCCCGCGATGTCCTCTCATTCGACCCGCGGAGATCTTTTTGTGCACAGAAAAAACGTATGTTGGTGATGGCTGAGGAACTTTGCCCAGAAAAATTAAAGACATGCCAGGAAGAAACTGGCCCCCGAACTGAAATTTGATAGTTAATGCGGCCCTCGGACTGTAAAGTTTGGAGACTCATGGGATAAAACAGAGCTGTGCAAACATATACAAACCATACTGTTACCATATTAACGTAAAACAGACATTTTCAAAGAAATCGCTCAACGCTCAGTTCTGTTAATGTATTTTAATAGATTATTACATCCTTTTGAGTCTTAGGTATTTTAATAATAGTGTAATCATAATGTGGTCAATGTGTAATCATAGTGTAATCATAGTGTAATCATACAGTATTCATAGTATAATCACAGTGTAATCATTGTGTAATTATAGTGTAATCATAGTGTAATCATACAGTAATCATAGTATAATCATAGTGTAATCATAGTGTAATCATACAGTAATCATAGTATAATCATAGTGTAATAATAGTGTAATTAGAGTGTAATCATAGTAGAATCATTGTGTAATCATAGTGTAATCATAGTGTAATCATACAGTATTCATAGTATAATCATAGTGTAATCATAGTGTAATTAGAGTGTAATCATAGTAGAATCATTGTGTAATCATAGTGTAATCATAGTGCAGTAAAAAAAAATTCTCTCGTTGAGCTATGGTCAATAGCGATAAACTTTTTCGGTGACCTTGACATATGAAGGGAGAGGGTGTCTAGAGCAGAGGTTTATAAATGAAATGTGTCAAGACATATGTTTACATCGCCTACTGTCAGATTTGATGACTTTATATGACTTTACATGACTGCATCATCTACTCACAGACTATTTGACTTTACATAACTGTATCAACTATTCACAGACTACTTGACTTTACATAGCTGTATCATCTACTCACAGACTACTTTACTTTACATAGCTGCATCAACTATTCACAGACTACTTGACTTTACATAGATGCATCAACTATTCACAGACTACTTGACTTTACATAGCTGCATCAACTATTCACAGACTACTTGACTTTACACGACTCCATCACCTACTCACAGACTACTTGACTTTAGATAGCTGCATCATCTACTCACAGACTTAACCCTTATATCCTCAGCTTGTGACATTGGCTGGTTCGGACCTAAGTGTGAGTACAAATGTCACTGTACTGACGGTCATTGTACCACAGCTGGACTGTGTGCCAACAACGTCGACTGTGCCAGGGGATGGTTTGGTCCCTTATGTCAGTACCGTAAGTTTTTAATTTATGCTGTCATCGTCAAGTTTCTACTTGCTCCTCAGTAATAATAATGTATACCTAATATTAATATCCAGATTTTATTTTTTCAAAGAGCTACCTGTGTCCCTAGCTTCGTAGACATACGACCGTTACACTAGGGTAACTTTATGACAGGAACTCGCAAGCACAGCGTTAAAAAGTCAGTCAATGTTTGAAATGATACGAAGATGAATAAACTCTTTGCATGAGTCTGCCAAAATATTACCAGTAGCTGTATGTCCTAGTTTTACAGAGATTTTTTTAACAAATACAATTCAAATTGTCCCGAGTCTACCCAGCCCTGACGGGTACCTAACTCACGTTAGGGAAAGTAAAAGCGGCTCGGTTTAGTGTTGACCACATTATCCCTCGCTATGCCGAGGTCACAGAAACAGGTG